TAGAGCATTGGCCCTGAGACTGAAGGGTTCGGGTTTGATTCCGCTCAAGAGCATGCACCTTGGTTTCAAGCTTGATCCCCGGGCCTGGTTGGGGTGCGTGTAGGAGGCAACTCATGGATGTTTCTCTCTCTGTCTCTCCCCTTCCCTTCCACTCTCTCTAAAAATCAATGGAAAAATATCCTCAGGTAAGGATTAACAAAAAAATAAAAAAAATTTTAAAAAGGAAGGAGAAAGCTCTTTCTATTTAAAGGGGCAAAGCTATTTGTTTTAACATATTTTTAAAAGATATATATATGTAAAGCTAGAGACATTGGTTACTTTCAAGGAAAGAAACTGGGTACCTGGTTGGGAAGAATTTCCATTGTATTCCCTTTTGTACTTTCTGAATTTTTAACTATGTGACTATATTACCTTTTCAAATAATAAGTAAAAAATTTTAAAGGAATAAGCAGCATTTACAAATAATTTTTTTAAGTTATGAGATGGCTTCTAAATCTGATGCTTATGAGAGATAAGACAGGAATTCTTCAGTGGCTTCCCCTGCTATCCTGTACCTTCTGTCATCACAGCCAAGGCCTCATTGCACCTCCCTGACCTCATCTAACACTTGGGCTTCTCAAGCACCATGCCAGCCACTCGGGCCATTAATTCTATTTGGTGAACACACCAGACTCTTTCCTCTACCTGAAAAGCTCTTTCTTCCCTCGGTTCTTTTCATAGCTGGCTCCCTCTTGTCTTTTAGATATTCTATCAAATGTAATATCCTGAGAGGTCTTCTCTGACCATCTGATCTAAAGCCCACTTCTAGTCCCTCCCTTTCTTCATATTACCCTATTTTATTTTCTTCTTTATTACCACCACCTGAAATTATTGTTTTAATTTTTTTTACTTGTCTATGGTCTTCCCCACTAGAAGTTAAGCTCAATGAGAGAAGAGCATCCCCCGTGTGCCTAATGGTATAGTAGGCACTCAATAAATATTTGTTCCTGGCAAGTGTAGCTCAATGGTTGAGCATCAACCCATGCACTGCGAGGTCCTCGGTTTGATTCCCATTCAGGCACATGCCCGGGTTGCAGGCTCTATCCCGGGTGCGGGTTATGCAGAAGGCAGCCGATCATCGCTTTCATCAATGTTTCTATCTCTCTCTCCGTTTCCCTTCCTCTCTCTCTAAAATCAATAGAAACATATTAAAAAGTAAATATTTGTTAATAAAATTGTTGCTGAATAACTAGACTCTGTCTTGAAATCCTAGCTTTTCCTTAACAAGCTCTAGTTAAAATGTTAAAGTTTGGGAGTTGCTGAATGAATAACAGCATAGGAACCCAGGCATACTTTTAAAACAACAGAACATTAAACAAAGAAAATTACCAGTTGATCTCACACCAATTTTAAAGAATACATTCCAAAAACTACACTCTTCTTTGATTAAAAAAAATCTAAGATTTTTATTTATTATGTAAATATATAAAAAATATATGTACGTACACACACACACACACACACACACACACAAATACATACCTTAAAACATATCTAGATATGTAACTAAGTTTTTCCTATACCAAACTAAGATGTAGAACATACTTTCTGCCACCGCCAAATATTTATCTAATTAAGAGTTGAATTGCTCTTGCAACTGTTGTATATAAGAAAAACTCAGAAACAAGCATAGTATTATGTATGCAGGTCAATACCTTTAAGATCTTCCCAGTTTACAGATATCTTTTAGACAAGCATAGAATCTAAAATGATTGTGAGGATTAGATACGCTTTTGTACCTGAAATGGTTATTTTTCCTTCTTCTCCTCAATCTAAGTGTTATAAGATAGAGTTTTATGGACTAGCCTGGCTAGTAAGGCTCATCCAGACAAAGTCAGAATGAACAAGAAGGTACATGAATTTCAACTCATAGAAAGTAGTGAGATAACCAACAAATGCTTCCACTGACTCGCAAGCCTCAGTTTGTGCTGGCTGTTTACAGTCATACTGCCCTTTTCTAAGGTTATAAATAACTACAAAGTGTCCCTGTCCCCAAGGAGACCTTAGCAGCCAGCTCAAAGGTTAAAATATGGAATAATTTTCACTTTGGATGCAACTTTTCCAGGTAGCAAAATAATCAAAGAGCAGAAAAATGTATTGCCAATTTAAGTTAAGGTCTGGGGAATCATTCCCTTCCACTGAAAACTATCCATTATGTGAGAGTTGTTGACATAGACACATTAGCCTAATTCTCTACCCCCAAAATATGTCCAGGGGCAATGCAATGCATGCTCTGCTCCACACGGAGAGGCCTCTCCTGGAAAGAGACAGGCAGGTGCCACTCAACAGTCTTGTAGAATTATGTCTCCTTAGACCTTAAAAAGACTTTTTGAGTTTTGTTTTTGCTTTTAATTTAAATACAAATTGCTACTGAGCTAAATACATCTACAAAACAACAACGGAAGAAAAATATCCTGTCTCCACTTGGATGGAGGACACAGCAGAATAAACCATGGCTACAATAACCACAAATTTCACAAGACCTGGCTTAACACCATCAGGTGCTGCTCTTAATTAGAACCCTGCTAGGAAAAAGAAAACTCCTCCAACTGCTTTTTAAAAAAGGCAGATGAGGGTTCATCAGATTAAGCTTCTCCACACATTACTTTCAAAATCCATCATTTGGGAGATGTCTGAAATGGAACGACATGAATCCAAATCAGCAAACAAATCTGATTATAATGGGGCTATTTCACTTCAAAGTGGATCTCAGTTCCAAAGGAAAACACCTTTAGAAATGAAGTTGGGTAGGCAAAACTAAACAATCAGCAACTCCAATCTTTTCACAAATTATAACAACATGTTAATTCAACGGAATGGCCTGGGCGAAAATCTCTAAGGCCACAAAGAGCAAAGTTAGAAAAGATGAAGATTTTAACACATCCCACATGTTATCAAAGATTTCTCCTCTAGGTTGAGAAAATTTATTCTAAAACAAGAGCTGGAACAGAATTATTAAAATTAAAGAAGCGGTGGGAAGGGGGAAGGAGGGAGAGGAGGGGGAGAAGTGAGAGGGAGAAAGAAAACCTTATGGCTAAGAAGATTCTATTTATATATAATTATATTCCCAAAGTTTGTTTTGAGATTTGAAAGGTTTTTCACTCTTTTCCTTCCACTACAACTATGAGGAACCTTATAAAATCCAAATAGTAAACAGATGAAAGGCTTGGCCCTAATACAGTTCAAGTGTGTCCAATCTACAAGGACCTCAAAAACTAAAGAGTCATTTTATGAAACAAACAGGGAGAGGTTGCATAACCCACAGGGTCCTCTGGCCTTTATAGAAGCCAAATTCAACATGTGGTTCTCTTTGCCATCTATACTTTAGCCAAGCCATTTAAAAATATTTCTTGCTAACACAATTTGGCTATAGTATGGGCCCAAAGAATGCATATCAAAGAAGAAAGGCTAAGTTAGTCTTAAGGTATGCAATTTGGAGTAAGTTCATTAACTTAGACGCTGAAAAGGCTCACAGTGCTCCAGAGATCTGGTACATTTACTACATGGGCAATCAATTTCCTTCAGCATTAACTAATGTAATACTATCTAGTTTCAAAAAGACTTATTTTTAATGGAATTCAGTATTTTCTGGAGCTACCTCTTTATGAGAGACACCTAGACCTCCCTCTAACTATAAGAGACGGAGGTATACATATGCTTTCATCTTCTCCTTTAACTATGGCCTTAACTAAAGAAATCTGATGACTGTTTACATGAACCCATGCTCCTTGCATAGCAAATATTGGCAGAAAATAAATTCTCTCTTATTCTAAAGTTATGAAAATAAGTCCATTTCTATGTAAATGGTAAGGTTCTAACTAAACTAAATGGAACAAAGGATGGGCAGGAAGTTCTCAGCTTTAAATGTTCATTCCAAAATTCATGACACAAGGAAAAAGTGAAACCACACAGGCAGACAAAACAAGGGAAAGTTAGACAGAATGTCTGCTTTAACAGAATTTCCTGCCTCCCAATGATTTGTGTCAGAATTTAGATTAACAAGCAATAACACCTGTTTTACCCACTAAAACACTGTAAAAACATACTTAAGCATTTGAGGCAAGAATCTCATACCACAAAGTAAAAGTTTTAAGATGCTAGCCAGAATAATAGAATGATTTTTTTAAAGTTACCCACAAAGAGATGGGTTCTAAGGGTACATACAACAAAGGCAATCTGCTCAACATCAAACTCCTTTTATAGAGTAAAATGAAACCCATGAATTGCTTTAAGGTACCTCCTTTTCTAAACTGCAATTCTAGCCCTAACCGGTTTGGCTCCGCGGATAGTGTCGGCCTGTGGACTGAAGAGTCCCAGGTTCAATTCTGGTCAAGGGCATGTACCTGGTTTGCGGGCACATCCCCAATAGGGGGCGTGCCAGAGGCAGCTGAATTGATGTTTCTTTCTCATGGATGTTTCTAACTCTGTATCCCTCTCCCTCTCCCTTCCTCTCTGTAAAAAATCAATAAAATATCTTTTAAAAAAACCAAACTGCAATTCTAATTTCCCTGAAGATCTTTTCTAGGGAGAAACAATCTTACCCTAAGGTTTCAAAATCATGCATTATCAACTGTTGATTAAAATTTTAAATCCAAACATCTTTTCTCTTCTCCACCATCATTATATAGCCTAATCCTACCTGTATAAAATAGTCACAAGAAGAATAACTCTAGTTTTACTCCAGGAATGAATATTTAGAATAAAACTTATTTGAGGGCACTTATTAAAAGGGTTTCTTTCACAGTTTGTTATGCTCGTGTTTTGTTTTTTTAAATATCACCCTACCTGCTTACTTTCTATGACTTCCAACTTTACATACCATTGGCACTGAAATGAAACAGTAGATTGACTGCACTCAAGATGTGCATTTTTTAAAGTCATGGTAAATATTTATATGCATTTCATTCCACTTTTTTCTTCATCTTAAACTATATTTAAAATAAAACTATATGAAAACTCACCAAGTTAAGTCAGTAGTAGGAAGACCAATCTGTCTTGTCTAACAGGAAATCTCTGTTGGAAATAGAGATGATGAATCAGACTTAACTAGATTCTGAATCTCACACAAATGCTTACTTTGGCTATTTTGCAATGGGGAAATCTTACAAAAGGAGGTGTACAGTTGCTAGGATTTACAAGTCAAATTACCATTCTTATATCTGTAGTCCTGAGTGCTCTATTTTTTTTTTTAGTGATCTTTCAAAAAGATAATACTTAGAAATTAAAGTCAGGAAAATCCAAAGCTAATTATTCTAATGAACTGGCCTATGAATGTAGCAAAATGAAATAAGTGGCTTGCCCCACAGTAACATGAGAGGAGTGATCACTTTTGCCAGCTCCCTCACAAAATATTGAAAGAATTACTATGAAGTTTTTATGTAAAATACCCCTTTAAAAAAGTGTTCTGTGGGTCAATTACACCAAAACAAGATGCATTTAAACAAAGCCGTGTTTCCTATAGTTTTGATAAACAGTTGTAACATTAGGTTCCTGTTGAAGACTGGTGAGATAACTTGGCTAAACACCATCATTGCACTACCTAATAATCTATCATATCCCACAAAGTGACTCAAAATAGAAACAGGAATAAGAGTGGGTGCAAAGCTTCAGAAGCCTCATGCAGTCATAAAATTCTGGTGCTCTCTTCCTTTTTGCAGGAAAAGAAGTACTGCATATATTGGGGATAATTCCTTAAAAACGGCATCTTTTCCTGAAAATGTAAACATTATCTTTAATTGTTACACTGGTACAAATGAATTTCTCTTATTTTGGTAAACCAAATCTGGTTACTATCAGTAATGGAATGAGCCCTCACCAAAAATTGTCTTAAACTACTGATGTTAAAATAGGACAATCATGATCAGAAGATTTACGAGTAGCAAGAGTCAGGCTGAATTCATTTAATTAATATTTACTGAACACCAACTGTGTAAGGCATTATTTGAGATGTAGTGGTTCCAAAACACACACACATCCCCCAAAAAACACAGAAAAGGTTCCTGATCTTCTGAGGGTATAGACAGATAACATGCCTTTAAGACCTTGTAAGTAACTACTCCTTAGGCAGAAGTTATCACCGAACTTAAATAAATATGTTCTGAATATCTATGTTTCTTAAAGTCAAAACCTTTAGTCCTTTGCGTGCGTGCGCATTCTCATTCTCTCTCTCTCTCTCTCTCTCTCTCTCTCTCTCTCCTCTCTTTTAAGTTTAAGGTTTTGGTTTCTCAGTTAATTTGCTAGAATGAACAGTTTAGGCCCAAAGGATTAGCAAAATTTAAAGAGTCTGACAATACTGGTAAGGATTAGGAGGAACAGGGACACTCTTCACACTCCTGGTAGGACAAATTAGTACAACCACTTTGGAAAAACAGTTTGTTATCTAATAAAACTAAAGATCCAGCAATTTCACTCTCAAACATGGCCCAGAGAAACTCCTCTTGCACATTTCCATCAGCACACATGAAAAAAAAAAAAAAGTTCATAGTAGTAGTATTCATAACGGCCAAAAACATCATCAACCCTAGAATGGCTACATAAGTTGGGGTATGTTCAAATAATATGATGCTATATGGCAATGAAATTAAACTACAGTTCTACATAATGACATGGATGAAAGTTACAAACATACTATTTGGTCTGAAAGAAGACACAAAAGAACACTTACAGTATTATTCCATGTATATAAAGTTCAAAAGCAGACAAAATTAAGCTATACGGTTTGCAATGAAACCTAGATAGTAACATCACAAAGTAAGGATATCCTATATTATAAAGAGGTAATATGCAAATTGACTCTCATGCTGTAACGCTGTCACAAGATGGCGGCACACACAGCGGGGGCGGGGCAGCGGTGGTGGGGCTGGCAGGTCCTGGCAGCCACTTTTCGCTGCTTCTGCCAGGGTTTCCACAGCCCCGCGGCCGCTGCATGCGGACCGGAGGCAGGGCACTCCAGGACTCGGGGCGTCCCATGGCATGGGGGTGAGGGGGTTGGATATCCCAGGTCTTGCACGATTTCACCTAACAGGTCACTAGTAATTATCATAAATGTCAGACTAGTCATACCTCTGAGCAAAAGTATGGTTTATAAGCTAGGAGAGGCACATACAGCAAGCTTCTTCAGGGTGTAGCAATGATATATTTCTAGGTCCTATTGCTGGTTATATAGGTACTTTTTTTTGTAATTAATCTTTATACAGTTGTTTTGTTATTTCTCTATTATGTTCCATAATTAAAATGTTCAAAACATATGTTAAAACAATCCAAGAGTGTACATACAGTTGACCCTTGAACAACACGGTTTTGAATTGCATGGGTCCACTTATGAACAGAGTTTTTTCAAAAATACTACAGTATTTTTTCCCTCTGTGATTTTCTTAACATTTTTTCTCTTGCTTACTATAGTGTAATACAGTATATACGCACATAACATGCAACATATGTATCCACTGACTATTATCGGTAAGGCCTCCAGTCAATAGTAGCCTATTAGTTTAATTTGGGGGAGTCAAAGGTATACATGGATTTTCAACTGCATGGGGGAATTGGTGCCCCTAAACCCTGCATTGTTTAAGGGTCAACTATGTGTGTGTTTAAATTTTATTTACATATTTACTTACTAAATATATTTATTTAATACTTATTATAAATAATACCTATTTATTTCTTCCAATGTCTAAGAGTAAATAAATGTCTTGCACAATACACCCTTGATTCCCCACCCCCCAAGACAATTTAGGATGAGAACTGGGTAACAGAGCAGGGCCACCCAGAAATGAATACCTACAAACAGGCTTTCTTACTATACTTGCTTTCTTTGAGTTTATATGTAATAACACCTAAGATCTGTATTTCAAGAAAATTTTCAATACAGACACAAACATTTAAATCTATGTATGTATGGCTACCTACCAGGAGCCATTACTGAATACCCAAAGTATTATAAGAAATAAACAAAAGCCTCTGAAAAAGCAAAGCCAGGATACAAGTATATTTTGGTTTTACCGTTTTAGTTTAATTGTGGCCTGAAACCTCCAATGACTTCCCATCTCATTCCGAGTAAGAGCCAAAATCCTGACAATGGCTTAAAGCCCCAGCACAGTCTGGACATCATTTCCTCTCCTGCCTCATCTCCAATTACATTCTCCTGAGCTCACAATGTTTCAGCCACACTGCCCTTCTTTGCTCTTGTTCCTCAAACAGAATAGGCTCGTTCCTGTCTCAGGGCTTTGTACTTGGCCTCTCTCTACGACTCTTCCCTGAGATATTCTCTTGGCACACACCCTCACCATTATTGGGTCTTTCTGTAATTGTCACCATCTCTGACACACTTAAAAATGTAATCCTTACCCCTATAGCCCCAATAGTACTCCTCCATTATTTTTTTCTATAGCACTTGAAGTCATCTACCTTATTGTAGTTGGAATGTAAGAAGGTAGACTCTTGTCTATTTTGCTGCTGCACCCGTCGGTGTCTGGCACATGGAAGACCAGAAATAAATACTTACTTAATAAATGATTGAATTAATTTCCTTTTCTTTTGGATTTCTATCCTTGAAAGATTAAACAATAATTCCATACACTCCAAAAAACAAGTTTCCTCTTTCTATATGTCAAAATTAATAATAGCCCTAGCTGGTCTGGCTCAGTGGATAGAGCATCGGCCTGTGAACTGAAAGGTCCCAGGTTCGCTTCTGGTCAAGGGCACATGCTCGGGTTGTGGGCTCGATCCCCAGCGGGGGACTTGCAGGAGGCAGCCGATCCATGATTCTCCCTCATCATGGATGTTTCTATCTACCTCTTCCTTCCTTTCTGAAATCAATAAAAATATATTTTTTAAAATAAAGAATAAAGTTTGTTTTACTAACAAGTTTCAGATTTGTGTTCTTATTAATATTAATGAGTCATAGGTAAGATTTATATAAAGTTGATATAAATGAAATTATATTTCCCCTAACAAATGTGCAGTGCCTGTTTTAATAGCAATGCTGGGAGAGCCCAAAGACACAAGGACTCCCCTGAATTGCTGGTGCAGGTACACAATGGCATAATCACCGTGGGAACTGCCTGACAAGATACAGCATGAAGACTGAGTGATTGCTTCTTTTACCTATTCTTTTTGTTGTTTTCTGTTCTTTTTTTTTTAATCTTTAAATTCTTTATTAGTTAAGGTTACAAATGTGTCCTCATCCCGCCCATTAGTCCCCATCCTCCATCCCCCCACCCCCCGCCCCATTCATGCTCTCATCCCCCTGTTGTCCATGACCATTGGTTTGGCTTATATGCATGCATACAAGTCCTTTCATTGATCTCTTCCCCTTACCCCCATCCTCCCCTACTTTTCCTCTGGGGATTAATAGTCTGATCGCTGTTTCTGTCTTTGGATCTGTCCCTGTTCATCAGTCTATGTTGTTCTCTATATTCCACAAATGAAAAAAAAAAAAAAAAAGCATGTTTGACTTTTATAGTCAGAAAAAAAAGGTTTTTAAAAATTTTGCAAATAAAATATAATTTCAAGAAATTCTTTACATTATATTTTTACTAACACAGAAACAATAAAGGCTCTTGTTGTATATCTAGATGAAACAGCCCAAGAAGGAAATTATAGTTTGAAAAAACATTATTTTTTACTTAGGACCTAAATTTTTATGAGTTTCCAGAGTAGAAGGGAAAACAAAACTCCATGGTGTTAGTATTCCATACAAGAATATAATTTTTTTCTACAGAAATATTTAACATAGGAACATTTCTACACAGCATAAAATGTGGGACTGATGTGATAAAGTACAGGTAAGGGACTCCATTCAAACAGTGATTACAATGGCATAAGGAGGACAATTCACTAAAGAAAGTCTACAGGGTGACAAGTTAAATTCGGAGTAAGCCTAGATCCAAAGGTTACTTTCCAACCAGAATAACCTGTGACCTGAACCATCTCCTAAGATAACAAATCTTAGAAAAAATACACAGCCATCTCATGTTGTACAATTATATTTATTACTAAGATTTCCATTTTAA